CACCTGCTTAAAGCGCGGGCGCTGGCGAGCTTGCCTCAAACGACTTGCAAAAACAAAGATAAGTTCAGCCGTGCTCCAGACACCCTGCAAGGTCGTGCCAAAGAAGGTGCGGTGACGCCACGTGGTTGTTGTGGCAGCGCTGACGTGCATCACCAAGGCGTAGCCCTCCAGCTGGAAGCCTTCCACCGTAAAGCTGGCCAAGGCCACGGATTCTGCTGTTGGAGCGCATCAGAAAACCTAGGGCTCTAGCAGCACCTTGTCCAAGAACTTGGACAAGTTTTATTACGTGTTTTTCTCTTGAGGAGCCACTTGTCCAAGTTCGCCCGGGAACTTGAACAAGGACTTGAACAAGCGCAGGCTGCCGTGTTAGACTTCCAGTACGCTCCAATTCCAGGCTCCGGTGCCAGGTTTGTCCAACCCGTTTGATACTGACCCACCCAACCCGCTTAATACTGCTCGACCCAACCCGTTTGCTAAGAGTGCGACAGGTAAACGCCGGCCTGGTTTGTCCATGGAAGGCGGAGTTAGGGAGTTGGTTAAAGCCGTGCGTCCAAAGTGTCTTTATCTCTTTACCGTTGTGCAACTTCGTCCGCCGCCCGTTCCACGCCCCGGCGCCGGTGCGCGCGTAGCGCAGCTGGGGTACCTGGCGGTGCACGGCCTCCGTCAGCCGGCTTACGTTGTCCAGGTGCCGCTGTCCCTCCTGCGCCTGCCTGCGCTCGTCCAGCCAGTTGTTGAAGGCCCGCGCCTCCTCACGGAGGCCGTTCAGAAACGCCTTCACTTCTCTCTAAAGATGCTGGAGTCGCGCATCTAAGCCTGCCGCAGCGTCTGCGCATGCTGCCGCAGGCTCCGCATCGGATTCCCAGTCTGCATAAGTCGAACACGCATGTTGACTTCTCTACAACCCAGAGCAAGCACCTTTGAGCAACACCAAAAACACTGAGCGTTCTTTTGCATCAGTCGCTTCTGTTTTTGCATGTGAACAGGTTTTTGCAAAGCTTAGGCTTTTTTGTCCCCTTGTGTTCGAACCATGCTTGAATTTTCGGCCGCGTTGCCAATTAGCGACATGCTTTGGGTGGCACCGGGCCGGTCCAAAGGGGGTACCCCTTTTTTTGATGCCCACCTGCCTATCTGGTCAGTAGGGAAAACCTAGATGCATACGCACACTTGTAGACCTGTTTTTATTCAGCATGTGACACCACGGTTCTCACGCTGACCGAACACGCATGTTGGTCAGGGGGAAAAGATTCTCAGGCTCCGCATGGGATTCAGTATGCATATGTCAAGCACGCATGTTGACATATCTGCATCCCACAGCCTGCACCTCTGAGCAACACAACAAAAAAGAAGCTGAGCGTTCTTCTGCATCGGTCGTTTTTTTTGGCATGCATGTCTTTGGCTTGAAGCAGTGAACAGGTTTTCAACATGCCAGTCTAGTGACTTTGTTTTTGCCGGTTGGTTTCCTAAGGTTTCAGAGAGAGAAGACGGAATACCCTTCTGCTGGTTCGTTCTGACGGCTGCCGGATAGCGCATTCACGTCAAACGATGCATCAATTCTCGGTGGGTTGATGCAACAGTGGCAGACTCCTGTGATCGCAAATGTGCCTGACAGCTTTTGGGCCTAGTGACAAGCCGTCAAGAGCCATGTCACCAAGGCATGTTGTTTGACATCGAATCAGCAGATTGCCTAGTGGAAGAGGCTCTTTCGCATCCTGGTCTCTCATCCCACGTATCTTTTACTCATTCGCTGAGGCAAACACTGAGAGAATTCGTGGAAACTAACCCACCATCTCATGTTGCCCAGACAACTTCCTCAGAATCGACGCAATTTGGCATGCAAGTTAGATTCCTGGATGCAAACAGCTCGCCCCAAGGTGTAATCGCATCCAAAATCCCGCGGGCACACCGAGCAGAACTCCTTCGGTTCTATTTCTTTTGCGGCGCCCTCTGGCCGTGCTGGGGTGTGCTTTGCCGTCTCCGGGCGGCGATTCGATTTTTAATCTGCCATGGAGGCACAGGACATGGGTGGTGCGGTACAAGCACACGCCAGGGGCCAAGTGGTAGAATTTGGGGAGTCGTTCACATGTGTTCCTATGGTTTCAAAAAAAGAGAGAGGCCAAGCATTCTGGGCCCCGCGAATTTTGAGACAACCCCCTACCAGACTTGGCATTTGGGAGCTGCGCCGTTGACTTGGGTTCAATTCCCCCTAAAGTCTTGGATCTTGGCTGATGTGCCCCCCTCAGCGACTCCCCTTCAAGCATCCACCACAGAGGCCACTTTTAATGGTTTACATTGCAGAAAGCCGTGCAGCAAAAGCCCTGCTTGGTCCTTCCTCAGTGTCCTGTAGCCAAGGTTTCTTGGTGTTGGAACAGGCCACCGTGCCTCTTCCTTGGGGCTTTCTTTTCTCTTTATCCCAATAAAACCCTGTCCTAAGGGTCCCTTCGGTTGGCATAGGGAAACCAACGGAATCCACCTATTTTTTGGGGGGCTCCCCAGTCAGAGACAAACCCACACGAGGAATTCGCAATATTCACAGTCAGTAAACACATCGGGATTGACCAAACTCCTGTCAGCCAGGCTTCATCTCTATCTGGGTATGGGTCAAAGTTTAAGTCACCATAAAACCGCAGGGTTTAGTTCATTTTCTTTAAAACAAGGGTTCCATTTTGTGAGACGAAGCCAAGGATGTGGGCCCAGTGGTGCTTGCGCAAGCGTGCCGGGACGCCCTGGGGGCGGGTGCGTTTTGTTTTGTCCCAAGGTGTCTCCTGTCCAATCGGTTGTATTCCTCCAGGGCCAAACCGGATGTTGAAAGGAAAGCTCCGCTTCTTGAAAGTTTACGTTAGGTTGGCTATGGTTTCGAAGCAGACCCATCCATTTCCTGTCGGATGCATTTGTGGTTGCAAGGGGGTCATTCCCATATTGCTTACAGAGAACAAGCATGCTATTGGGTATGTATGTTGATAGGCTGATGCGTGTCGCAGTGCTGCTCCAGGGATTCACGTTGGAAGGGCACATGCGTTGGAGTGGTCCCGATTCCCCAATGATGCATTTGAACAGATGGGTCTTCGGACACTGACGGTTTGGAGATTTGTCCAAACACGCTAGCCAAAATAGACTAGCTCTTTCAACAAGAAAGCAACTATGCAAGGGAAGGCGCTAAACCTGGGTTTCTGCGGTTTCCATTTCAATTTGGTGGGGAGTATCAGAGGGGGTTGAACAAGGTCACGGCACCGTTAGCGATCGTGGGGCCCCGCAACACCATCACTGCATCGGTCAAAGCCAAACCTATGGCAATCACCAGTGCATGTTGAAGAGTGGCAAATTGAGGCATTGTGTTTTTCAGCACTTTCATCTTATTTTCAGCCTTTCCCAATAGAGCACAGCACACTTGCTGCTACACTTCCCGGCTGCCGTTCTTGCCTGTCTGAGCGGCTCTTCTGTCTACACAAGTTGAAGACTACTTCTGTTGAACATGTCTCTCGACTCAAGCCAATGCAAGTTGACGCAAGAACAGCTGGGTTCTGGTGGCTTGAGCATGTTTATGCTTACGGATTGATTACAGCCGCCCAAAAGCATGACAAACATCGCAGATTGTGACAGCCGGCCGAATATCTTGGATTTGTTGATGACTTCTGGCAGACCTCCTTGCCACACACGCACACACACTTACGCAGCTTTCCTCGTCGGGCGAAGCAGCGTGCGATGCCGCAAGACTTCCACTTTGTCGAGCTGGGGCCGCCGCAGTCTCCGGAGCGCACCCAAGACTTTGAACCATGGCCATGTGGATCAGGGGGGTCCGGCCAAAACCCTGCAAATCCCAAGAGCTTCTTGCGGCATTCTCTGGCTGGGACTGGGTTGAAGGCCCTGAGCAGGTGGCTCTTGTTCTCGATTTCTTGGGAACAAAACCGGGACCCTGGGGTCAATACAACATTTTTTCGTCTGTTTCTCGTTAGATCCATCGACCATGTAGTTTACTCACATAATTATGACGCAATGATTTTGAACTACCCCCTTGCCCCCCGCGAAAAAATACAACATAGGATTGAAACTGTTTGGGCCCCTACACCCAATTTGCTTTCCGCCCGCCAAGGCGCACAAGCGCTACTGGGCTCGGCAACGCCGTGCGTTTCGGTCACTGGGCAACGGGCATGCGGTGGACACAGATTCGGATGTGGAAGATGTTGTGGACTCTTGCTCGCCACTCTTGCGGTGGACTCTTGCAGAAAGGTCGAGACTTTGCTCGCCACATGTAATGCAGACTAGCGCTTCGTCTCCACCTGCAGATGGGCAAGCCACTGAGCAGCGGCTCGTTTGCATTTACTAACTTTTTGTTGGTGTCGAGCCTTCTTCTCGTGGCTCGCAGGAGTTGCAATGAGCCTGCCGAGCTGGAAGCAGGGACAGGCCCTCTCTCGTAGCATCCAAGAGTAAGCAGACCGGCTGCTTGACCTCACACATTTGAAACTCATTTGTGAAGCCAAGCTTGAAACACATTGCGAATGTTTTTCGCTACATGTTGTTGCTGAGGCTGTTTGAACCCCACGATCAAGGAGTATGCTCTTCAGTGGCAGTGGCGTTATGTCTGCCGCGGGCATGATCTCTTCCTGAAGACAGGCAAAGCGCTGGAAAGCCGGCGTCGGTGAGGTGACGCGCACGCGCTTGGGCGAGCCAGAAGCTGAAAAAAAGGGCGGCGGGAATCATTCCGTACGGATGTTTATAGACTAAAACCAATGCAAGTTGACCATGACAACAGTTGGGTTCTGGTGCACACAGAACAGACCTGTGGGTGATGCCCAAATGCCACAGTCAGCTCAAATTTCATTGCGCTTCGGTATCCAACCCCCCCCCAATCCCAAAAAGTGGCTTGAGAGCTCGTGGTCGCTAATCAGGCGGTGAGCTTGAAAAACTCACCCAAGAAGGTTCATGTCATAAGGAGCATAAGGAGTTCATGTTTTCAGGTGGTGATTTCTGACGATGGCATGCAGGTTTGCACACGCTTCAGATATTTGGCTCAGTGTCTGGCATGGACTTCCAACTCGGCCCTAGCATTGGGTCTGGGCTCCGGCCACGCAGGTTGCTTGAAGTTCCCTCCCTGATTTACTCAATCTGCAGACCATTCGGTTCGGCCACTTCCTCCATTGAACGGCCTTCCGACAAGTGTCCGAACATGACGCGTTGCCTGCCGTTGAAGGTGCAACAGCCAAGTCAGTAACTTTGGACACAATGCCCATCTTCGCTGATAGTCCAAACAACACCCTGGCGCGGAGAACTATTCCTTGGAAACTCGGACCTCGGACCCCGTTTCACGCGCGAAAAGAGGCTATGACCCCTCCAAGCACAAGATGGCCGCAGACTTTGTAGGCGCGGACCCAAATTTCTGCGAGATATAGGCCATGAGTTTAGATAAGGAACCGCCTGGAAGGTGGTTGGTGGACATGAATACTCACCTAAATGATGTCCACCAGAGTCCCTGAATGAAACTCATGGCCATATCAAAGAAACAAAAGCGGGAAGCTCCATGGACGATTAGCCAAAGCCCCACCAAAAATAGAGTTGTCGAACAGTTAGATGCTGCAAGCAACCACAGCGGCTGTGATGTTCCGGTGCTGACATTGGTTTCAGGGCTTGGGTCACCGGCTCGCGGAGCCATCAACATGGGATGGGGGCTTTCACTCACGAAGGGATTTCTGCCCATTGGCAATCTCCCACCGAATCAAGCAGGTGGGAGGAGCGAATGGGAAAATTGTCAAAGAGCGGTCCATCAATGGTGACAAGCTGTGTCAGCAGTAGCGGACCCCTCAACAAGTTGGTTTAACCACGACAATCGGAGTTTCTTGTTTGACACGTTTTCATTTTTCAACGATCTGTTCGCCATCGGATGTGGCAGTTGCTGTATTACCTTTGAAGTTCTTGCTTGGACTGGATTCGTTCTTGGCCCTGACCCGCACAAGTCAAAGCACAATTCAATGTGCAAGGTCCTTTGTTCGAGTGAGACATGGTGTTGGGCTCCTCCCTGTTGCTTAATTGTGCTGCTTCCCTCAGCCTCAAGCCGAAAGTTCCAATGAGGCAACCAACTTGCTCGAGACCCGCGGAAAGCATCCAGATGTGACTTTTGCAAGTTGTTCCCCCGTTTCGGTTTTATCATGAAACCGCTGAATGGGTCTCCGTTTGACTCTCGTTTGCGTGGGCCACCACCTAACCAACCCCTCGAAAGGCGACATGTTGACATGGACATGGGTCAAAAGAGGGGATTTGGACCCGCCGTTTTTTCTCCCAACGTTGTCGCTTCACGTGTCCAGCACCCATCGTTCTATCCCCAAAGTTTGTCGACCTTCATTTACGTCTGGTTGGAACAGCCCACCCCCATCCTCCATCCCCCCGGGCCCTCCCCCCTGCCCTGCCCCCACCCCCCCACCCCCCAATCCCCCCAAGTCCCCCCACCCCCCCCCGCCCGTTCCCGGCTCGTCCGTTTCGTTTGTTCCAGACGGGGACTGGAAGACCTTCTGGGACTTCTTGCCTGACAAGGCCAGGCCCTTTCTTGGGCTGCAGTCAGCGCCTTGTGGTTGCCGTTTGGTTTCGCTTTGTCATAGCTGAGTTGAGTCCTTTGAAGGTCTCTTTTTTCAGTTGTTGTCTTTGGCTGAATTCAGGTCGTATGCCCAAAGGCGAGCATGTTGCTCCCACATGTTTTGGTTGCAGGTGAGCGGTTCTTTTTGTAGTTTTGCCAGTTGAGCAGCCTTGTTTTGCAGATGAAGGAGTTTGGCTTTGGGGACCCAAAAGCACTTGTGTGCCGCCTTCTGCTCGCGGAGCCTCTCGTAGAGGAATCCGGGGCTCGACACAGGCCACCGTCTCGGGAAGCCTCGCAGAGGCAACCCTTCGACAAATCTCTGGCTTGGCGAAGCCAAACCCCCATCGTAGGCTCCCCAGTGTGTAAGCCCCAACACCTGAACAAAAGCACTGCTCAGTTTTGAACGGGCAGCCACGAAAGGTTGAGAAAATCACTCTGGGCAAGTAGGTACGGTGAGGGAGTTCTTGGGGATCTCGGCGTTTAAATGCGCAACTTGCACGCAAAGGCTAAACATTGGCGCACTTGAGGAAACCGACGCTAAGTGGCTTTTGCAGTGACACTCCAGGTGTCTAAGGTGGTCTGAGCTGGCGAAGGATGAAGGATCCCTTGGGTTTGCAATGGAAGAACAAGGTTCAAGGTGCCAGGGCTCTGATTTCCGAATTTCTGAACCCTCCCCGTCGAAATGCGCATGGCTGCCCAAACCCAAAGGAGCTTGAGTCGGTTCCGCACCCCTTGATGGGGAGCTTCTTGGCCTGAGGCTTTGGGCCAGATGGGCGTGGGTCAAAATCAAAACACTAGGAATTGGACCGCAGGTTTTAGTCCATGTTTCCATTTACTAGGGTCCATTTTGGGACCTATTTTGACCCGCCAGATGAGAATCTCCCGGAGTCGGGACGTGTCCAGGAGGAGCCGTTCCTCTACTCCACGGACGGGCGGAGGCC